GTTTTATGCACTCTTTGAATTGACACTAACTTTGAATTGATGAGGCAAATAAATTCAATGAGGCAAATAAATTTGGAAGTCTATTTGGGTAAAGCTCGATCTTATGCTTGATTTTATTTTAATCTCTTTTCTTTTTAATAATGTCTTTGCTTGAGGACAAGCAAATAAATAAGTGTGGGGATATTTGATAAACATTATTTTGATTGTTATTTTAAATAATATTTTTATACTTAATTTGCAATAATTAGTTAATTTTATATTTATTTTTATTTATTATTGTTATATTTAGTTTTATTAATATTGTTTAATTTTTGGGTTGTTTTTGTTATTAATTTAGTTTTGTTATAAGAATTGTCAGTTCAATAATTCTTTGATTCTAATTTAATAATAATATATTAATAATTGGTTTTAGTAGTAATTGTAGATTAGTTATATATGGACTCTAACATATTTAAGCTTTTAATAAGATGTATTTTATTTAATTAGTAATAATTATTTCTTGGTTGAGACTCTTTCAACAACGACCAGTCAAAACAACGAACGGAAGAAGAGCATCTCCTTCGGGCATGGTGACTGCTCGGAGCTTTGACCGACTATAGCGTAGAACTTGAGAAAATTGTTGGGTTCAAACAATATAAATACATGCGCGTTCGAGGAAGGGCATCATCAAGTTCACTCCGGACCAATTCCGTTCGGAGGTGATTTCCAGTGTTTGGCCGTACGAATCTTTGGCGGTACGAATCTTTGGCAGACAGTAATTCTGGTTTGGTGGTCGGCGAATTCTGATCGGCAACTTCTCTTCTGGTCGTGACGGCAAGTTCTCCTGGCGGCAACAAATTGGTGGTCTGTGCAGCAACGATAGTTATACGGAAATTTGCATTCTCCTTACTCTTATTATCATTAGTTTACTTAATTAGTGATTGAAATATTATGTTTTGTGAGTTGTGTTGGTTCAGTTTCTTGGTTATCTAAGCAATCTTTTTGGTTAGCAGTAAAGTTATACTGGTAATTGTTTTCCTTCTCTTCACTCATTATTGTTAATTGTCATATTATTTAGTGCTTATTAATTGCAAATTAGATTGTTAATTGCCATCTTATTTAGTGTTTAATTGCAAATTAGATTGTAATTAGTCTTTTGGAAGTTGATGTTGCCTGAACTTGTTGTTACTGAGTCACTATGCATTGCTAAGCATTTGTCTTCTGGGAATGTGATAGAAATCGCCAAGAAAGTTTTGCATTAACTTAGGCTTTTATGTTGCCAATACAATTGATTAAGTTTTTCCCCATGATTCGTATATTTAAGTTCAACTCGACCAATTTAGTATTTATTAGTCTGTTTGAGAGAAGTATTGAGTAAACACCATACCTTTTAAATTCATGTTCTTATGCTTTTCAGGTTTAATTGTTCTTTGATTTTTTTTGCTTCTTGATAATTTATTTGTTCACCTTTAAATTTTGATTCAATTATTCATTGTTTAATTTCCTGAGTTTAATTGATCGTTATCTTTGGCATTTAATCCTAGTACCTTAAATTATCCAATTTTTATTAACTGCAATTAAAACTTTATGTTAAAGTCTTCTCTTTCCACTCTTTTTAGTTATTAAATTGCATAATATCAATTCCCTGTGGGATCGACCCGCCTTTGCACACTATCACTACACTGACTCGTGCACTTGCGAGGACTTGTCCAACACCTCTTCCTATTCCAATTCCCCCATCCGAAGGACCTCCAACGGGTTCTTGACGACGGGCCATGGTCTTTCGAAAACATCCTCCTGATCTGCGATCAAGTCCCGATGGGCGTTAGACCAGAGGATGTCGACCTGGCATCTATTCCTTTTTGGGTCCAGATTCATGGTCTGCCAACCATGTTTGCCTCCCCAGAATTCATTTCCAAGATAGGGGACTATATCGGGGAATTCATCACGGCTGATCCTTTCAATTTTTGTGGGACTTGGAAGAGCTATTACCGTATCAGGGTGAGGATGAATGTAGCGTCTCCTCTTAAACGGCGAATGAAGCTCAAAGATGAGATGGATCTGTGCAGTGGATCACGTTCAAGTATGAGCGGTTGAGTACTTTCTGTTACTGCTACGGGATACTGGGCCACTCAGATAAATTCTGTAAAACGGTGTACGAGGAAGGGATTCTACCGGAGGCGTTCCCTTTCGGAGCGTGGTTGCAAGCTGGCCCAAAACGGCAGGTAAAGCCAGTAGGAGCAAAGTGGCTTCTACTGGTTACATCTACATCGTCATCAATGACTGCTCTTCCCTCGGCGGGGCCACCGCCGGCGGTACTGGTGGACACAGAGAAGGCAGGGGGATTACAGGGCAACCTTAAGCGAAGGAGAGGAGATGAGGAGGATGTTACGACAGGTAGTGATGTGCATATGGTTGACACTCCAAAGATTCATGAACAGGCGAGCCTGACGGACCAGGTTCGCCAGAACAAATGAGTTTCCTAAGTTGGAACTGCCGGGGAATGGGTGGCACCCGGACAGTTCGCGAACTATTGGGCATCATGTCCAAGAAGCGACCCATGTTCGTTTTCTTAATGGAGACGAAGGCTACTGATTTACAAGTGGAACAGGCGTATGTGAAGATGGGATTTGATTGTAAAATTGGTGTGGAACGTACAGGCTTAGGTGGGGGTCTTGCTTTCTTTTGGAGGAATGCGGATATGGCGTCTCTCATGAGTTACTCCAACAACCACATAGACATGGAGATAACTCTGCCCGGTCGTCCAGCTTGGAGACTCACTGGCTTCTACGGTGAGTCGGATAGGTCGCGGCGTCATATCACATGGGATTTGTTACGGCAACTAAAGGACAGGTCATCCCTGCCTTGGGTCGTCGTGGGAGATTTCAACGACATCGCATGTCTTTCCGAAAAAAGAGGATCGCATTCCCACCCGGTAGCCACGAAGGAGTGGTTGGAGCTTCATGACAAGGTGGTGGTCCAAAATATCTACACTGTTTTTTCGGACCACTGTGCTCTCTCGGTCAATTTTGATCCGGGGACTACCAGGGCGAATTCTCGCTCGTTTAAATTTGAATCCGCTTGGCTCTTGGAGGAAGGATGTGCTACGATTGATGGCGAAGCTTGGCGCTTCTCTGCGGGTTTGGATTTCCAGGAACGCCTTGCTATGTGTGGCGAGCGATTATGGAAGTGGGGAGGGGAACATCATCGGAGATTTGGTAATCAAATCCAGAGACTTCGCCGAACTCTGGCTCGTTTGATGGAAGATCGCAGTTTACAGGGTATGGAGCAATTCAAAAATGCAGAGGGTGAACTGGAGGCCTTGCTTATTGCAGAAGAAATTTTATGGAAGCAAAGATCCAAGCAGTTATGGCTTAAACATGGCGATGCGAACACAAAATATTTCCATAAATCAGCAACGGCACGACGCAAATGCAATCTTCTATCGCGTTTAAAAGACCCGGAGGGCGAATGGCAGGAAGGTGCGGCTATGAATGCGGAGATCCTCAGGTACTATGACTCTATTTTTTGCTCTGGTGCAAGTAATGCCGAGCTCTTTCACCGTGTTCCGGAAAGGGTCACAGACGAGATGAACACTTCTCTGTCTCACCCTTTCACGATTACGGAAGTGAAAGCGGCACTGTTCGGTATGGCCCCGGATAAGGCGCCCGGACCAGATGGCATGTCGCCGGCCTTCTTTCAACACTTTTGGCCAGTGCTGGGACATGACATGTCCATGTTCCTTTTCAAGTGCGTAGAAACCAAAAAAGGCTACACCAATCCGAGTTTCGGACCTGCGCCCTATAGCCCTTTGTAACGTTGCGTACAAAATTTTGGCTAAGATGATTGCTAACCGTTTGAAGGAATGTTTGGATCAAATTGTATCACAATCTCAGAGTGCCTTTGTGACTGATCGGCTCCTGACTGATAACATTATAATAGCCGGAGAGATTGGGCACTTCCTACGCAGGAAAACGGGAGGAAGTGTAGGGTGGGCTGCGCTAAAGCTAGACATGGCTAAAGCGTACGATAAGATGGAATGGCCCTACCTGGAGGGCATGTTGAGGGCTCTCGGTTTTGATAACGATTGGGTTCATCTTTTAATGCTCTGTGTTACCACCGTTAATTATTCCATTTTGGTTAACGGTGTGGTAGTGGGACAAGTCCGTCCTACTCGGGGGATTAGACAAGGCGATCCTTTGTCGCCTTATCTCTTCATCCTATGTGCTGAAGGTCTATCGATCCTCCTGCAACAAGCGGAGGCTCGGGGTGACATTCATGGGGTGAGGGTGGCCCAGGGAGCACCGGCCATCTCTCACCTTTTCTTTGCTGACGATAGCCTACTCTTTTTCAGGGCCAACCAACGAGAAGCGATGAATATTAAACAATGTCTGGATCTTTATAGCTCGGCATCGGGGCAACTTATCAACTTTGACAAGTCCAATGCTGTTTATAGTCACAACACACCGGCTCCAATGGGGGACTTAGTTACGGGAATTGTGGGAGTTCACGAGGCCCCGGATTTGGGTCGTTACTTGGGCTTGCCGTCGGTCCTTGGACGAAATAAAACTGCAGTGTTCAAGTACATTGAAGAAAACATTCGTGCACGTATCGGGCTGTGGCAGCATAGATTCCTATCCCGAGCGGGCAAGGAGGTACTTCTGAAAAGCATAGCACAATCTCTTCCAATTTTTACTATGTCCATTTTTGTGTTGCCTTTGCGTGTGTGTGACACTCTGGAAAAGATGTTTAATCTTTATTGGTGGGGGGGCGGTGGTAATGGGAGTCAGGGGATACATTGGTTGTCCTGGGACCGATTGTGTAAACCGAAAGCGATGGGAGGTTTAGGTTTCAAGAAGCTGCATGATTTTAACGTTGCTTTATTGGCCAAGCAAGGGTGGCGATTGCTAACTCAGCCTAATTCGTTGGTTAGTCGCCTCTTGAAGGCAAAGTATTTCTCTACCGTGGATTTCATGGAGGCTCAGATAGGAGGGAATCCCAGCTTTATATGGTGAAGAATAATGGCCGGGAGGGCTGTTTTAGAACAAGGCATTGCGAGACGAATTGGCGATGGGGCGGATACCAAGATATTGGGGTGGAATTGGCTAGCGGATGTTTCAAACAAACCATTAATTACACCGTGCGTGGAGGAGCTGAGGCATGCAACTGTTAAAGGCTTACTAAATGAGCATGGTCGCTGGGATGGCGACATTTTACGAGATATCTTCCACACTGACGACATTCCCAGGATCCTTGCCACCCCAGTGAACGCTCATCTCAAGGATTGCTGGAGATGGCCCGAAGATTTGCGGGGTAGGTACACTGTGCAGAATGGCTACCGTTTACTCGCTCGCGAGAGATTGCAACCGGCAGTAGAAACTGAATTTCATGCATGGAAGGCTTTATGGACATTACTAACTCCACCCAAAGTGAAAAACTTCCTATGGAGATGTGCTCGTGGAGTGTTGTCGGTACGAGATAATTTACGCTTGAAAAGGGTGTGGATTGGAGAGGGTTGCCCCATCTGTGGTTATGTTACGGAATCAATGGCGCATCTCTTCTGTGAGTGCGACTTCGCGAAGCAATTGTGGGAGAACGAAGATGTACTGCAAGGTAGGGAGCTTCTCGCTTTCATGGATCACATTCTGGGTAGTCAATTGGCCTTAATTTTCTGGACAATATGGCAAGCACGTAACGACGTAGTATGCAATAGTATGACTCCATCTGTATCCAAGTCGCAACATCTAATGAGCCAGCTACGAGATGCATGGAGAGTGGCATACAGCCAATCGAGGAGCACGTTGGATAAGCCCAGGATCCGGGAGCAGTGGACACCACCACCAGCGGGTTCGTTGAAGTGTAATGTAGACACAGCCATATTCGAGGATGGAGCTGGCTTCGGCCTGGTTGTACGCGACCATGTTGGTTGCTTCGTTGCGACAAAGAAAGGACAGCTGGACGGCGAGCGTGATCCATTTGTGGCCGAAGCTCTTGCGGCTAAAGAGGCGCTAACTTGGTTGAAGGAACAAAATCTGAATAACATCATCATAGAATCTGATTGTTTAAATTTCTGTAAAACTTTTAATTCTTAGTCTGTTGATTTTTCTTATGTTGGTCTTATTGTGAAGCAATGTCGGGTGATTGCTAGTGACATAGGGAATGTGTGTGTATCCCATGTCAGGAGATCAGCGAATCGTGTAGCTCACGAATTAGCTCGGGCGACCGGTTCTTTAGCTGGCACGGAGGTGTGGTTTCAAATCCCACCTAGTTGTATTTCCGAATTATTACGTTTTTAATAAAGTGTTTCTGTTTTACTTTCAAAAAAAAAAAAAAAATAGCATTCAAAACTAACATATAGAATCTTTCTTTACCATCAACTTGCCTTTCAGGTTTTTCTTTTTTAAATAAAATTAATCGTTATCCTTCCTTCTACATATAGGGTTGGTTTAAAAACAAGTTATTTTTTTTTTAATTTTTTTTAAATGACTTATTTTTAAGAAGGGCAACACTTGTGTGAGACCGTCTTTCAATCCGTGAGACAGGACAGATCTTTAATTAATGGGTCAAATCTTTGATTAATGGATCAGATCTTTGACCTCATTAATCAAAGATTCAACCCATCTCACGGATTGAGACCCGTGAGACGGTCTCACACAAATTTTTGCGTTTTAAGAAAGCATTTTTTTATAGATTGGTATTTGGCTAAAAAAAAAAAGTTAAAATAAATTTTATTTGATTGAAAGTCAGAAAATTGTATTTCTACTGTCTGGTTCAATTCATTTTATAAAAAAGAACAACAATCTATTACAAAATTATTTGTCAAAGACCTGGTGGTCAAGTGGTATAACTGTAACTTTCCCAAATGAAAAGTCACAAGTTCAAACCCAGTGGGGGTTTGACTCTTCTTCAATAGGTTGAGAAAGACTATACGAACATATATTACATTATTACATAGTCAATAATACTAAAAAAAAATCAATTACAAAGTTATTTCTAATAAAATATTAATTATTTTAATTTATTGTTATTATAATAATAATAATAATAATAATAATAATAATAATAATAATAATAATAATAATAATCATTTATATTAAAATAAGGTATAATTTAAGATATATATAATAGTTATAAAGATTAATAATTATTATAATAAAAATATGTAAATAAATAATTATTAACTTGTAACTTATTATTATAAAAGTAAATACATAATTGATAAAAATAATAACTATGACCAAGAAATTGAAAAAAAAAATTATACATTTTAAAAATTTTTGGGCTATAGGTTAGTCTAACCAAGATTTTTATTGTATGACTCGGCCCAATTTAGCCATATTTAATAAGATATTGATAAATAACAACCCTAGACTAAACAAATTGAAGGGAGAAAAAAAAAAACTCCAATTTTAAAAAAATATATATTGGATTGTGAGCTAGACTAAGATTTTTATTTGTTGGTTTGACCTAACCAACATATTTTTATTGGGTATTGATAAATGTAATAACTCTAAATTAAAAAAATTCTTTTTAAAAATTAAATTTATAATCTTTTGAGCTATGGGCTAAACTAAACCAAACATTTTTATTGTCTTTACTTGACTCATATATTAACTAGACTAGTCATTCCAGCTCAAATAATAACTAGGCAAATGTTGTGCCAACTCGTGCATTTGACACATCTAATAGAGAGATAATTGAGCGTGTGAGAAAGATATACAAAAATATAATGTCTTTGGAGTATTTTCTGTTAACTTCATTTTATTTTGTTAGCAAAAAATTGAAAATTTTTAAAAAAGATCTTAATAAATATTTTTTGTTAGGAATCATTGTATCTTTAATTTAGATTTTGATGATGCAAAATATTGTATTAGGGCTTTAGATATGCCCTATTTCTTTTGTTATTAGTCAAGGCCAAGTTTTCGTTTTCAGTTGAGTATGTTCAATAGACTTAATGTTACTTAATTAGGACTAGCTGTTAACACAATAACTCGGCAAATGATGATGAGGAGTGAATCACCATATTAGTAGCTGTTTATCAACCAAGTCTCAAGGTATTCAGAATTTATCTAAGTCTTTCTTACAACCTAACTGCCTTCAAGACGAATAAGCTTTTGAGTAGTCTTCTTGAAGGGAATACGTGGGATATTTTCCAAAGGCTAATAAGAAAAAGACAAATGCAGTTATGCAAGTTGAAAATTCTTTCACAGTTACTTTGGGATTTGATTTGCACCCCTACACACGAGAATAAGTCTTTATGCCATAAAATTCAAACTCATTCTAAAAGAAAATTGCATATATACTAGTGTAAACTAACTTCCCTTTCCAATGTGGGACAAAAACTTCTTTCAAGTCTTTCTACCTTCATTTCCAACTCAAATGGGTCTAACTACTTTGCGAATCAATTTCTCATTCACCTATTATCTTTTTGAGCGTACAATATATCAATTTCTTCGTCTTACTTTGAAGAACTCTAATCCATTTTGACTTCACCCAAATCGGAACTGGACCCACATATATTTGTACAACAAAATAACATCTTGAAATGTCATTTTTGTTAAAAACTTCCAAGATTAACAACTTTTTTTGAGCTTATGCATCATAATTCTTAATTTGGTTGGGATGTAATCACAAAGAGATTTACATCTAGCGATGAAGTGTGGGAAAACTATTTCAATGTGAGCTTCTTACATTGTTTAACATAAATGTTGCTTAAATTTTATATTTCAAATATCCAAATGTTAGATTTAATATAGTCTAATCATACTGAACAATAATCTACGAGAAACCTAACCTCGTAGTAGCGGAAGCAAAAGTCATTTTGATCTCCAGTCATAGTTAATACTTTGTTGTGTTGCCTCTTAAACGGTAGATCTGCAGAAAACGTTAGCCGTTTTATCCCATACTTGACTCAGAATCCTAGATGGTGTAAGTATTTTCTGAGTAGTATGAGTACCATGTTATGAATGAATATGTCATGTATTCAGGGACGGAGCTACAGTGGGAGCAGTTGCCCCCACTCACCCCACCCCCACCCCATATATAGCCCTTGTAAATATATATGTATATATAGTACATGTTTTAGATATAATTATATGAAAACAGATAAATATAAATAATAGATTTGTTGGATTAGTTGGCGAATGTGTGTTTGATGTTAGGAAAAGTTAGGAGTTCAAATCCCATATTGCTTAACAAAAATTATATGTATATGTATATGTATATGTGAGATGTGTAATTTATAATGTGTTTTCTATTTGAATTATTTTATCAAATTAATTATGTTTCATATTTTGTTATGAACATTTTTATAAAGTTTTGATGTGTTTTATTTTTCGGCTATATCCAACAATATTTATGACTATATTTCTTAAGTGTTTCATTGTTTTTCAAATTATCTCTTTTGTTTTAATGTTTCACCCCCGCTAGAAAAAATTTATAAATCCACCCCTACCTGTATCCCATCAATACTGGCTTTATATAGGCATATTGGTGGAATATAGACTTAAACATAAATGTCCAGTCCAACCAATTACTTAATGGGTCTAGTCCACTTGCACAAAATAATTAAGGCTCATAATATATAATATATATTATATGGGAAAGTCTTACATAACTAACTACTTTGTTTGTTTGTCTTTTTTTTTTTTTTTTTTTTTTTTTTTTTTCTAGTCACATCCTACTCATATAAACATACAAATAGATATTCTTGCTGCCTATGAAGATTAGCATTTTTATTTGTAAGAAAAATATAAATGTATTAATAGAAGTTATGAAATGTTTGTAAGTGTGTGTGTGTGTGTTTTTTTTTTTTTTTTTTTGGAAAAAAATGTTTGTTAGTGTTAAAAGTCTCACATTGAAAAAATAATAGAGAACATATGAGTTTATAAGGTCATGGTTAGACTAACTAATTGATTTGAATAAATCCTTTTATGTGGTTTGGCCAATGTGCATTATAGCCCAATTGAGTAACTTTATTTATCTTAATCTTAAATTATAGCATGGTATCAGAGCCTCTTCAGTCTACTTTGTGTTCACCCGGTTGTCTTCCTGTGGTACTTGTTTGGTCTACTTTGGTGGCATCCAAAGCTTTCTTTCCGGGGGAAGGTTCAATCCAATTTCAAGTGGTCAACCGTATAGATTCAACATGACCCGATTGTCTACTAGAGTGGAAGTGTTAGGAGTCACACATTGAAAAAATAAGAGAGAACATATGATAAGTTTAAGATCATGAGTTAGACTAACTAATTGATTGAATTCAATCTTTTTGTGTGATTTGGCCCATATGCATTATAGCCAATTTGAGTGACCCTGACTTAATAATGACTTTCTAAACATTTTAATTTGAAAAAGTTTTTAAAAGTATAAATGTTTGTTTTATAGACTTTTATAGACTCGTATAAAGTTTATGAAAGTCTAAATAATTCTATTAGAATCTAGAAAGATTCTATAACGAGGCGTTTGGTTGAAGTGAGGGAATTATGAGGGAAAGAAATTTCAATTCTATGGGAGAGGAATAATGTGGGAATAAAGTGATGAGAATTTAAATTCCAATGTTTGGTTTGTTGGATAGAATTACTGGAAATTTCAATTCAAATGTTTAGTATACATGGGAATTGAAATGGATTAAGAAGTATAAAGTCCAAAATAGCCGGCCATACATAATAATAATAATAATAATAATAATAATAATAATAATAATATTATTATTATTATTATTATTATTATTATTATTATTATTATTATTATTATCATATTATTATTATTATTATTATTATTATTATTATTAAATCACAAGTAATTGGACCCATCTACATGTTCAAACACCCAAAAAAAAAAACAAATAATAATAATAACATATTCAAATACCACTCATCTACAGTACCTCTTGAAGTTGACATATTGCAATTAATTTTCAAGCATCCATTGGGGGAGGTTTGATATCAATTTTAGATTTTTAAGATTAAAAAAAAAAAAAAGGTAATTTTATTTGTTTCAAAGTTTTTTTTTTCCTTTTTTGTAAAATCTAGGATTATAATTCCATCAAAATGAGGGAATTGAAATTCCACATAATTGCAATTCCCTCCAACAA